GGCTTCTTTTAAAGAGCCGGTATGGAGGTTTGTCTTGCATCAATTTATAATACTAACAACTTACTATTAATAACTGCAACATTAATAGCTCTTATATTTTTTTCCCCATTTATCTAGCTCCTTATGGAGGTCAAGATGCACCTCAAGTCTATGGAGGTTTGTGTTGCATCAATTTTTAATACTAACAACTTAGTATTAATAACTGCAACAATCATAGGTGCACCTTAAGTACATGCACCACAACCTCTGAACAAAGCATTAACTGGTGTAAGAGCTGAATTGTTTCATTTAGGATCTGTTTACTTGAAAAAAGTGAATGAAAATTATTATAGTAATTAACATCATATAGTGATTTAGTATTTATTACTATAAGAAACATGGCTCTTCTTTTATTCCTATTTATCTAGCTGCCACTAGTAACCCAAGGGTGTCCAATATGCCCATGACACAGCCTTTCCAAGGGGCAGGTGTGTGTTTTTTTTTTCTTTTTTGAAATAGTAATAATTTTCAAACTACTGAAGGCCTTGGTGTTATAAGAACCTAAACTACTTATCAGGCTTCTTTTAAAGAGCGGGTGACCAGTTATTTTTACCAACTTTTCAAGTTATAAATATTACTGGCTATTATTTCACTGAGACCTGGGACTGAAATATTTACTGTTAAAGTAGTTATCCAACGAGTTTTTTAATTTTTATGGAAAAATATCTCTTTTCTCCTTCTAACCAGTGTTGTGAAGATATCTATTGCATGTTACTGGTTTGAAAATGCACCGTATGTTAAAGAAATCCTGCTATGTTTTCCATTCCATTCTTATGGCCAAGCAAAAAGGGTATAAGCATCAATTGAGAAACGTTGCGGTTGGCAACATGGCGTCCACACTTGGAAAACCTACCCCGGTGGGGGCCTATGTGGCCGGCACACCCCAGCATGGGGAAAGGTAACAAAGTTACCTGCCATTTCTTATTTTTTACCTTCTATGAAAAACTTCAGCAAGAACCCTGCTTATGAGATAACATTTTCAATGTTCTAGAATGTTCTTGAAACATGTTATTATGCAGGCAGATCATAAAAGATTCTGCATGCCTGCTTTCGTACGGAGTCAAAGGCCATAGATTGTTCATTTTTATTTTGCTCTTCCTTTTCTCCTGTTTTTAAGGCGGTCCCAGAAGGCACTTTCCTACAGGAGACTTCATGCAACATGTTATGAACTTGGAGAAGAGGGTTCAGAACATGGAAAGGACTATACATCCAGCAGGAGTGGGTAAGTAAAAGAAGTAAAATTGGTTCCTGAATATGGCGATGCCATGAGAAAATTGAGATGTAAGAAGACAGAATTGTCAAGATGATGAATTATAGAGTGTAACCTGTATTTAATGGCACCATATTGAGTGGTCACCCTGTATCAAGAGGTCCGTTGTCAAAGTCCCAAATTTGTTTCCCCTTAATCACAGCACCTCTAATGAGCAGACACCTCTCCTGAGTGTTGGTGGTCAGTCACTGAGTCCCTGCAGTCTGTTTGTATTTTCCTCCTCCTCTATTGAATGGTCACTCGAGTAAAATCTTATTAGTAAAATTTTGTCCTCTTTAATCTTCCAAAATCAATGGTAGAAGTATTATTGGACGTTCAATTATGGCATAATTTGGCGTTTTTTTATAGTAACCCTCTTTTGTATAACCTGTATTAAATTGGTCACTCTACCATTCCCCGTGGGTAACCCTTTGGTGTAATTTATCATAGTCATGTGCATCTTAGTGATTAGTATTTTTTCTTTATTTATTATGCAAAGATGTCTGCATGAATTGCAGTCAACAAGAACAAATGTGTAACTGTCTTTCAAGTTCCACTGGATTAGTGTAGAAGTAGAGGATTCACCGTAGCTGATTTATCGCCACAGGTTTACTACGAATCAACTTAACGGCCCGCTCCCAGTTGGCTTGTTAGCTCAATTTTTTTTTTTTTTTTCTATTTTCTAGTTGATAATGAGGTCATGCAGACTTCGAAACGTCGTAGTTTTTTACCGTTAATTTTTATTATCAAATGTTTTTCTATTTCACTTTTAAATTGTAGATCATGTTTATATAGATTAAAATAGATTGTAACTGTAATAATAGATTGTAATAATATTATTATTTTATCTGATAGATTTACCGTGTCTAA